TTATTCTTTTTTTGAAGAACATCCTGGGATTTTTAATGACCACAGAGAGACAGGACCTCGGTTTAGTGTCTCATTAAAAAAAATGGCACTCACTGAGCAGTATAGAGTCCCCTTCACTATACTGGGGCATTAGGACACACACAGACTGTAGGTGTAGCACCCCCTGCTGGCCTCACTAACATTACTTCCGGCAGCAACCTAGCTTTCCCATGTGGTCTCCCATCCAGGAACTGATCAGGCATCAATATGATGTGTTTGCTTTATGTAGTGTCACGTTTGACAAAGGGACATATGCAAAATCTGAAAGTGTTTTTTGCTGTTGATACTTGCTTAATACTTGCTGTGTCCAATAATCGGATTTAGTATAGGATAGTCTGGACAAGACTAGTATTATTTCTGTGTGTGTATTATGTAGAGCAAGACTGAAAAGGCACTTTAGGAAGGTGCTTAGATGGTGCATGACATGGAATTTAATCCATCTAAATTCTCCAGCATCTCATCTTATTAAGATTACATTCACATTCCTGCACTCTCGCCCTTGCTCCATTCTGAGTTAGTCTAAAGATTAAGACACAAATTACATCAGATTTTTTTAAGGTGCGGGTGACATAATTCTTGAGAGAAAGGAAATGGCAGGACAAAAAAACAAAAAATAAAAAGTACTGTTTTTGATTATGTTTGTTTTTGGTTCCTGTCTGGCCGCTATGTGCTTTGATGATCTGAATAATCTATGGCATTGATGCTGATCAATTTCTCACATGGTTCTTTACCATGGAGTATCATAATCAAACTAATAGTCTATCATTGTTGAAAAACGAAACACAATATAGTGCCAAAAATGTTGTATTTGCGTGTATCCTGCCTATATTTACCCCCTTATTAATAGCAAGTGACTGACTGCTTTCAATAAAGAGGTAATTCACCCAATAATGGGCATTTGCTGTAGATTTACTCATCCACATGATGTTTTTTCAGTCTGAAAAAAAAAAAAAACGTTTAGTCAAAACAGAACTGGCATTGTAAACGCTATAAGAGAATGCCCAATGTGTATCTTTCACAAGAACTGAAATAGTCCGTAGCGGTTACTTTCATCTCACGCTGCAGACACATGTTTACAGTTCACCGTTTGAGTATTTGGATGTAAAAGTCGAAACAAAGAACTGAACTGTTCCAAGTTTTTCATGTGTTCTTGCAATATCACTACGTTGTTAGGATGTCATTGAGTTGCTCATTATATAACCTTGCGTAACTTTTAGAAAGATCAAATAGAAGACCAGATTTCACCAGCTTTCCTTACGAACCCAAATATGCCCCCTCAGCACTGATAACACTGCAAAGTCAGAGATGCACTATGCAACACCAACCTCGACCTTAAAGGACTTTCCGTACTAGCAATTACAGCACATTAATTATTTAAACATCATCAGTTAGTAAACACACTTTGATAAACTCAAGCATGCAATCAGAATAACCTATAGCAACATTTATTCTATTGTTAATGGTTCTGTTATAGCAGCATACCATTTAGATTTTTTTAATCCATCTGTGATGCATAATCAGGCTGTTTCTGTGGTTTAATATCTGGTGATGTTTGGATTCATATAACAGCTATATCTCGACTCTGCTTAGGTACTGCGGGTCAGCTGCATGAATCATTCATGCTGATACTAATATTATGGTGCTCATGGGTCCTACAATATTAGATTGTGGAGCAGCATTATTAGCTTCTGGATTCCTCTGTTGCTTCTCCACCCCAGTAAGCACACATACACATACACACCCAAACACCAGCCTAATCTCAGTACTGATGCTACAAACTGATGAATATTTGATTCTGTGTCTGCTTGAGCGTGCCCTGATATGTGAATGTGCATTTATATGCATGTGTGTGATCCTAATGGTAAAGAGATTTCCTTCAGCAACCTCTTTTCATGCATTTTGGCATTTAGTGCACAGGTATTGCTGGAATGCCTTGAGGGGAGGATGGTGGGCTTTTCTGGGGAGGTGGTCTGGGTGCTGAAACAAGCAAAAGCCTTCGTATTACCTTTTAAAGACAATCAATTACCATGACCTGTTCTGCCTCCCTGTGGGAGTTCCAGCTCTCCTCGAGAGCAAGCCGCACTGCTTCGACATATGAGTCAGTGTTTGGAAGTGACAGAGCATTAGTTTGCATAGCCCAACTCATCAGAGCTTGGTGGTATGCGTTCTGTCCACAAATGCCATGGAGATGAGTGTGAGTTTCATTAGGAATGCAAGTCAGCAGCACAGAGTAATGACAATTCAGGTCGTTCAGTTGAATGGGATCTTTATTTGATCTCTTCAGAATTGTTTTGTGCATTTTACATTCATTCAATCTTATTCAGGACAAAAAAAAATACTGCGAGTGTTATGCAGTGCTGTGTTTTCATTCAAAGGTTTAATGTTTAAACCTCCTATGCAATACTGCATTTTTAATGTAAATATAGTAATGCATGAATCAATATTCTGAAGTACTATTAAGATATTAAATAACGTTTTTTTCTGTTTTAATATATTTGAAAACATATTGATTTATTATTTTGTTTCACAGTGCTGAACATTCAGAAACCATTCTGATATGCTTATTTGATGGCCAAGAACATTACATCTTATTGTTATGTAATAACAATTTTGAATCATCCTAAAGTGGTTTATTATGCTTTAATTCCTGGCTGGATGGAAATTGTCATATGTATTAAAATGCTTATATTGTCATGGGCCTGTGTAAGATTCTGATGGTATGATAACCTTGGATAAAAATATCACTGTTTCACGGTATGACTGTATTATGATTACTGCTTTAAAATATGTTCTATTTTTAAATGTCAGTGTAAAAGACAACATTTTTTTTTTTCCACTGGAAACAATACATTTTATTTTAATAAACATTTCAAATATTTTAAAACAGTAAACATGTCAGATTAAACAATTAAAATAAATCATTGATCTCTGCTGAATTCAGTAGTATCAAAAATAAATTTCTGATTTTCTTTTCTTTGGATATAAGTCAGAGTCAAGTCAAAAGTTAAAGTCAGCTTCTTTGTCAATTCAACCTACAGGACATACAGAGAATCGAAACTGCGTTACTCTCTGACCGTAGGTGCCTAATATATAATATTAATACAAAAAGTAGAATTTTAGGAATTACAATAAATACAATTATACATAAAATGTATTCTAAGAATATAAGTAAAAAAAAATATATACAATGTAAATGTAAACAATTCTATAACACTTCAGGGCATATGGCACAAAGTGCAAACCAGTAAAGTCACTGCATTGCTCAGCTCTATAAAATGCTTGAAAGTAGATTTATAAGCAATTTGTTTTACAGATTTGTTTGCTGAATCGTGGCCTGACCAATAGCTTTTGATGTGTAGATACTGTTGACCTAAAAAACTAAATAAAATAGTAGTAAAAAGACATAAAACTTAAATAATACCGTAGGATCGAAAACAGAAAATGTTGGCAGCTTTAAAACCTTGTCTTTCGTTAACTGCAGTTAACCTTGAAACCAGTTATTAAAGCTGGGCGATTTGACCTAAAATTAAAATCTCAATTAATTGACCTTTGTGACTCAATTACAATTAATGAACAATAATTTTATTTATTTATTTTTAATGTTTTTGCCCTCATAGTTTACTGATAAGTTTTGTACATTAGATATGCTCACATATTACAAGAGGTTTATAATTGTAGGGTGCATTACTTGATTTATAAAAAATGAAGAAAACACACACTATCAACTGTCCTGTCAGGGTTCTGCCACTCTGGTCATGTAAATTCTTGTTTTGGTGGCAGAATCCAGACACTAGTCATGTCTAATCCTGTCCTGTTGTGCCCGGCTCAAGTTTTCTTGGGTCGAGCACTTGTTTCTGTCATTTTGTGTGTCTCCGTGTGTGCGCGCGCCTTCGTGGGTGTGCGCAGAGTGTGCGCGCTCCCGCTTGATGCGGCCGCGCAGGCTCTGCGTCCCTCCGACGCGCACACTCTTGTACTCGTGTTTGTGTTTTCGTCTGTCTGCAGCATTGTGTTTCATTCCCAGCGTCTCAGTCTTGTTGGTTTCGGTTTTGGTCGGCGCTGGGATGAAGCATGCACGCTGCGTGTGTGAGCGCTTCAGTGTTGTGCTTGTCTTGTCATGAACATGCGAATAATGAGTTTTCTCATTGGCTACATGTTCTTGTCCTGTTTTATGTGAGCGCATGGCTTGTGTTGTCTCTCTGTGTCATGCGCTCTCCCGTTTATTGTCTAGTCCCACCCTCCTTGTTAACTCATTATTAGTTTGTCATGTTCACCTGTGGGTCAATTTACTTTTGCTTTATAATCCTGTGCCAGTTTGTCGTCGATACTCCCTCTGTGTTCCTGTTCCAGTTGTGTCTTGCCAGCCCAGCCAAGTTTGTCTCTTTGATTTTGATTCATGTTTTCCCCCTCAGGGTAGTTTGTTTTGCCTTTTTTGTTTTATTTGTACTTTGTTATTAATAAAACCCAATTATTAGTTGCAATTGAGTCCTCGCTCCTTTTCCCCTCACCCGACCGTGACACTGTCCATGATTATTTATTTAACATAAATACTGAACAACTGAAATTAAAACACACATTGCCTTAAACGTGGCTCTCCGCACTTTCCACCCTCATGGTGACTCCACACACGGTAAGGAAAGTAATTGAAAAAATTGCGCTGGAAAAATTTGATCATTTATAGGTTCTGAATTTTGATTACCTTTCGATTAATCACCCAACCCCACCGGTTATCATGCCATGCCTACAAGTAAATAACTGGAGTTTAAATATATAGTATTGCAGAATGAGGTCACTGTGTTAAATAAAAGAACTATTGAATTGTGCATATTTTATATTATTGCAAATATGTCTCTGAAACAGTTTGCGAGCTTCATTCATGTTGGAACTTTACATGGTTACGATACAAAAAATATTAAAGAGAACAAGAATCAAGGTCATCTTACATTTTTTTTCTCTTTCTGTAGCAGTGGATTTGCAAGGCTGCTGTCCACACACCCGGTTTATAGTGCCACCGAAGACCACACACTGGGTGGCCATTATGCAGAGAGGAAAGTGCACCTTCAAGGAGAAGATCCTTAAGGCAGCTGCTTTCAATGCCTCAGCCGTCATTATCTACAATAACAACACCAAAGAGGACACAGTCACGATGGCTCATGAAGGTGAGCTCCATAATCATTGCATTCTCATTACAGTTAATTCAGCTGTCTCTCTCCAGTATGTGTCATGTACCGTACTTCGGTATCTTGCAGACATTTCTATCACAGCTTGACTCAGTTCAGTCAGTAGACTAAAAGCTTCTTTCTTTTATAGTACTTTTGAAACTGCTTGCTGATTGAAATGCAGGAAATTGTTCTGAATTCATGTGATGTTTACTGGACTGTAAGTCTTTTGTCTGGGTTGGAAATACAGCAAGGGGTAATTGTTATGTCTTGACTAGACATGCTGGTTTAAAGGTCTACAATTACAATACAATAAATAAAAAACATTGTTCAAGGATTAAATGGAAGGGAGAAAGTGAGGCCAATTGTCCTCTGTGTGTGTGTGTGTGTGTGTGTGTGTGTGTGTGTGTCAGTACAGTAAAAAATATATAAAAAATTTTATGTATATATATATATATATATATATATATATATATATAAATAAATAAATTAATTAATTAATTTATTTATTTATTTCACAGCTCCAAAATTTGCACTGTAATGTTAACTGTAAAATGAAACAAGTGAATGTGAATAAACTAGATACAATGTGTTTTGTTTAGGTGTGAATGTGAAACTGTCACTCAGACTTGGGAAGTTTTGTGCAGCATACAGCAGACAGTCTGGGGGAAAGCGTTGCTGTGCTCAGCAAAATAAAGTATTTTTATTATTTATTTATTTTTTAAACAAGGCATTTTGGTAAAAGCAATAGCTGACACAGTAATTCCAATGCCCATTACAAGCCATTAAATGTTTAAAGAACAGACCACATAGGAGCTAACCGGACATTATAAAACCTCTCCACAAGATATCAGCTACACATACTGTACACATCATAGAGTATATGCAAGTGTTTTAATACTTGTGTGCAGAAATGTATATGCAGTTTATTTTAGTGTGTAATTATATGTTTAATAGTTTTCTGATATCTACAGTACATAGTAGGTTAATGGCCTGGGTAAATTCAAAGAATTTGTTTTAGAATGGTTTTGCACCGAGAATCAAAAGCTCAGTTTTAAGCTCATTTGTAACGTTGTAAACGATCAAAGACGATCCTATGTTGATCATCAAAGTTTGTTTTGTTCTGATTGGCCTGTTTTTTTAAGGAATTGCACACTCTTGTGATTTATATAGGAATGAGGAAACAAATGTGTTTCATGGTATTTCATTTCAATGTATTGAACATGTATTATTCAGCTATGACTTGAAATATCTAGATTTTCATTATATGCAAAGTCCCTTTAAGGCAAGTCATTTCACTCAGTGGCCATCTCTGAAACGCCTCTCGGGCTGTATGCTCATGCATTCTTTCTGAATGGGAAAGCATCTAATCTTCCAATACTGTTCGCCAAGCTTATGATTGCATTACATATTTGAAATCACCGATAAAATTAAACAACAGTCGTCTCATTAGTTTTGTTTCTAATTGTTCGAATCAAACAAAATCAGCATTTGCTTGGGTTGCCCAAGCTAATGTCCATGCACACTCAAAAGGAACAAGATCACGAGACATGCCTCATTTATGGCTGTTCTACATATTATCATCCTCTGAATAATGATCACTGATCGCGCTGCTTTTCAGAAGTAATTTACAACTTGACCTTGATGGCAAATCTCCTCCAGAAATGGCAGTGACTCTTTGTTTACAAGTTTGTGGGCTTTGAGTAGTTGCTGTCATGTGATGTGCGTTTGACAGGACGGACTGTACCTCACATTCGTTTTATAAAGATTACAAAACTAATAAAAGTTATGTTTTTAAGAGTAGTTGGTTACTTTAAAAGTACAGATTTCAAGCTTTATGTGGATAAATTTTTTATGTCTGTGAAGAATGCATTCACTAAGATTTCAGTGCGTTTGTCGACCACAAAAACTGACAGAAAACCAAAAAAAAAAAACAAATCTGAGCTTCTCCTCCGGAGAAATGTTCATTATAGCTATCAATGGTTGGCTTCTGTACTAGTAGGCGGGGCTTCATTCACCATATTGACTAATACACTTTTCCGCATTCAGAACTATACAAGTGACATGTCTTGTGTATTCTATAGTCTATAAGTATATAAGTATATACGTTCTATAAGTTAGTTATATGGGACCTGTAAGTGTTGACATTTTTGATAGTGCTATTTTTAATCCTACATTCATTCAAAATGTAGACTTGTTGATTGTTCGAGTTGGTTGATTTTCTGTACATGACTGGCATTTTTGATGGATGCATTGTGACAATTTTTAAAATGTCTCCTAAGGTGGGTGCATTGTAAAAGGTCTTAGAGAAGTCATCTTGAAACTCCTGTGTTCTGCTCCATTTACAGTATGTGGTGCTTTTTTGCTATAGCTGTGTTTGAATGTAGAAACACATCCTGTGTGAATGTTGCCTCACACATTCTGTGCTGCCTGTGGTTCGTCAATGTGATATATACAGTACATACATTTATAACAACCTCCTTAAATACATAAGTTGTTTTTAGGTGAATTTTTGGATTTATGTTATATTATGCCACAAATAAATATGTGTATGATTCTGAGGCAAAGTCTACATTATTCCAGATATATTTAAAAATGATTTGTTCACAATGCAATCTCTTTACATGAGTGGCTTCCACAAAGTTTATCATTTACAACGAAATGATAAAAATGCTAAAATTAGGGCTGCGCGATATTAGAAAAACAAAACTTATATAATATTTTGTTTTGCAATATACAATAAATTGCAATTATGAAATCAATTTGACCAAATGGCTTGAAAAGCTCTATTTGAGGGAAAATCGTTAGTTTAGATTGATTGAGGTGATTTTGTAAGGGTATGAATCGTGTATAAAAAAACATTAACAGAGTTAATTAGAGAGTCAAACAGAATGTAGAATTAAATGTCAAATAACAGCGTATAGTATCATTATATAATAATTTAGTGAAATTATTGTTCATTATTTTTCAAGTTACAAATGTTGTATTGTGTTCGAATGCATTACACTCACTTGAAATGTATTTAAAACACATGGAAATGGTCAAGTTTTACTCTGTTATGGTTATACCTAGCAATGACTTCACAGTCATGTATTCTCAATTATTGATCAACTATAATCCTCCTCAATCCCCTGTGCAGACACACACATTGTTATGTCGTTGCTGAAACGATATAATGTGCAGCCCTAGCTAAATTCATCTTATTGTTTATTCATAGGTGATTAAAGAGAATGAACCAAGATCAGATATAGTTAAGTCATTTTATGAGTAACTTCCCTAATCATCATTTCATGTTTGGTCTAAAATGCAAATTGCCCTCATGTTTTGCCACAGGACATCTAATGCTTTTAAATATTATGTAATCTTGCAGAATCTACATTTATATAAAGTCTGAGAAAGTAAACAGCATATAGCTGGCACACACTGGTGCACGTGTCTTTTCACACTTGAAATGGTTAATCCTTGGTCATTATAAACCCCAAGCAAACAGAATCTTCTGTAATCTTGCCTCGCATTTAACACAGCTCAAAATTTGCTCAGGGATACCAATGAATCCTGGGTGCTCGCACACTGATGTTTCACACTGTACAAACATAAGCCCTGGGTTAATATTATGCATATCGCTGATTTCTTTCAAGTTTATCCAGAATGTTTTCTAGCTTTTCTTGCCAAAAAAGCTGCCAATTTACATCGCACACTGTTTTTGTGGCTGTCATAAGCATGTGAATATCATGCATGCAATTGCCTGTCAGTTTGTAAAGATCTAATCTGCCACTGGATTGTTTTATACTGCATACATTCGATACCGCAGTGTAGGCATAACTGCAGACAAAAAACAGTGCTAAGCTGTAATCTTTGTTAAAAAACAGTGCTAAACACACACTTCTGACCAAACACACACATTCAAGTACTGCTGTTTTCACAGTCCACACTACAACACTGAAAAGCATTTTCACATTTGATGATGCTAGAGAACATCTTCAAAAACAACACAAACTTATTTCACTGTGTAGGAAAAGTAGAGGGGGATTTATTCCACTGTGGTGACCCCTGATAAAGAATTTAAAAAGTCAAAGGAAAGTGAGTGGAGTGAATGAGTGAAAAGGAGGGGTCCTCAAAAGCAGCCTTGAGGAACGCAAGCATTCAAATCTATTTCTAATTATATTTTTTAAATAGGGATGTCCAGATCCGATCACATGATTGGAAATCGGGCCCGGCAACGCTGTTTCAGACTCGGAATCGGACGTTGCTTCTCGATCAGGACTCGAATATACATGTATACTCTCATTATTTTTGAACACATCTTTAATTATACGGTGGCACAGAGTTAGACCTCTTTCTTTACTTTACACAGAAACAGCAATGCGTGTGGCATGACATCACTTTGTTGCAGAAATGCTATTGATTAAATGCTTTCAAAGTCGAACACGGAAGCAGCTTAAAGCGGAAAGTGCAAGTATGTCTGCGGTGTGAAAGGTGTTATAAAGTTGATGACGGCAACATTGCCAAAGCAAACTGTGAGATATGTAAATTTGCAATTGCAAGAGGTTAAAAGAAACAAGGCTACATTTAACACAACAAACCTGAAAAGGCACCTCAAAAACAAACACCCGACAAAATACAGCGAGTTTACCCAGGCAACCCAACCGAAGATGAGTCAGCTCACACTGCAGGAGAGTTTGAAGAGGAGAGAAAAAATGTCCTATGACAACGCAAAGGCACAGTACATCACAGCCAAGATAGCACAAATGATCTCAATGAGTGACCTGCCATTCGCTTTTGTAGAGAACCCTTGGTTTCTTATGCTTATGGAGCAAGTAGAACCTCGATTTGAATTTTTAATGGATTATAAAAGTATCGCATCAGGTTTTTTAGGTTGACTCGGATTCGGACTCAAGGGCAAAAAACAGATCAGGACATCCCTATATATAAGTGATTGAAGGCTGGACTTTCATCTTTTTGTGTGTGTGTGTGTGTGTGTGTGTGTGTGTGTGTGTTTG